TGAGGGGCCGCGCGACCGTCGTGACCCGAAGGTGGTAGTGACCCGACGAGTGCTGGTAGTATGTGAGGAATTGCATCATTCCTCTCTGAGGGCCTGGTTGCACTGCTGCAGGTCCACCCTGGTTTGCTATTTCGAAGTAGACGCCGTAACTCGAGGCAGGGTCAATTCCACACATCTTCCATGCGCAAGTGTTACCGATACCACATTCCGTTTCGCCGACAGAGCTCGACTTCTTGTTCAGGGAAACAGCGTGACCGATAAGACCGGTGACCTTGAGCTCCTTGGTAGTTAGCACCTCAAGAGATGCGTTGAAGCCCATGAGTAGGTTATCGTTGGCATCCTTGTCGAATATCCTGACGAAGGACTGCTTGAATTGTGAGGAGGTGAAGCTGTCTGTGAGAAGAATATGTCCGCCGGTGTAGTTGGCAAGGTTCTTCATCTCCAGCATACCGACCTGATCGAGACAGCCGGCAAAGACATCAACAATATGTCCGTTGTTGGCAGCACGCTTAGCCATGTTGTCATAGAACTGGATACATCATTAACTGTGAAAGCATTCAAACGAAGTCGGATCAGCACGCACCTTAACAGCCTTCTTGTAATATTTGATGTTATCGCGGTCAATATCGTGGTGTGAACGGATGGGTTCCTTCAGCTCAGGACCGACGACGTGACCGGGACCCTCAGTGGCCGGTCCGCTGGTGAAGACCATAATGCGGCCACCAGCATTCTGGAAGGAGGTCTCGAGCAGACCCACGGCGACGCTGAGAGCAACACCAGTGCACCTGAGAGGTCGCTTGTCGTTGGCAACAGGCCACGGGTCACGTTGGAGCTGTTCGAGCACGTTGGTGATCTGGAACTCGGCCTGCTGAACGGGAAGGAGGAACCGTGCCGCAGGGCCAAGCGGGGGACGCGCGGGTTGCTGGGGCATGTTCGGGCGAACTCCGGAAGCAAGACCAAGCATCTCCTGGACCTGCTTCGCGGCGTATTCCTTGCTGCCGCGGAACACATAGGACTTGGCGCACTCGGTGTAGCCGAGCTCATGTACTTGTGCCTGTAGTTCACGGTCAACAACACATTCTAACATGAACCAAATGTAGATAGATGGTTGTATATCCCTACCATTGTACCGTATGTGATCAGACCAACCAACGCGTTCACAGGCAGCAATGACAGACTCATGATCAGAGAGTCCTTCAGGGCCTTCAGACTGTCATCGTCCTGGCAGGTATCGACAACATAGACGAAGATAGGGGGAGCAGGGGCGGGGCGTGCCAATTGGTACTCGATTGTCGTGCTCATGGGGTGAAGCTCTGGGGGTATCGTGCTCTCCGTGATATCCTTGTAGTGAGGCGGCAGGGGGTTGCGCATAAGGCAGAAGGGGCATATCCAGATGCGGGCCCGAACGTCAACGTTGCTATGCGATGTCAGCCAAGTCGTTCATGTTGCCATGCCTGCTAACAGTTGAGAGGAAGCCATACGCATAAGGATTCAGCACCGCCCGACAAGGTGCCTTGCAAGTGACGGGCTCATATTGTAGCAATGGAGAGTCTGGCTTCTCCTTGAGGGGTGTGTAGACGGCACCGATGGGGACAACAAGGCGGGATGCTTCCTGTCGAAGCATAAGTTAGCAGAAATGGGCAAGAGGGTCCCATAGAGCAGACGAACCATGCGAGAACTCGGAAACGTGTTCCAGCTGAGTCTGATGCCATCGCGATCCTCGACATCACTCCATTGGTCCTTCAACGCTTCGTAGTCCATGTTGGCGGCCTGGGGGGAACGGGGATTCCGTAACTGGAAGATAACGAGGGGAGATCTAATCGGGCAGGAACAGGGCCAGAAATAACAAATACAGACAACGCAGACCGGTTTGCAGGAGGTCCCTCCTATATCACAACCCAGTCACGGAATGGGCAACGCCAGCAGCTGTTGTCCGGAGACTATGCGGGGATCAGGAGACTGTTGTGTGAAGCGGCACCTGTTGCCATAAGGCCAGGTTGCAGCATCACTGGTCGCTGCGGGCACCCGTACACCGCGCTAGTGTGCTTTAAATACCCGCTCATCTTCCTCCACAACAGTTTTTCTTTCTTTTTCTTTCCATATATTCTTCACAACGCCGACTCCTTTCCTTTTCTATGGCAGCTTCCATCCACTCAGTTGGTGATTTTGTCTAAAGTGTCGAGCGAAGAGTAAATTAGACCCGTTGCTGGGCACCTGGCTTTGAAAGGACGTTTTGTTCCTTTTGGATAATTTGGGAATCAGCTGTGGTCACATGCCCTTCTATCAATCACCATTACTGTAGTAGATATACTCGTAAAAAGAGCCATTGATGTGCGCTTTGAATGAATTGTCTCGGTGCATTCCATGCTCTTAAATTTACATAAACTATCTACCTAAAATGGGACCAAACGCATCCTCCCATTTCCAAAAAAAGCCTGACCCGGAACGCCCGTATGGTGGAATATTCGCAAACCGACAGCCAAAATGCAAGAAAGGAACGTGGCTTCGTGGACCTATCACAATGACGTTAGGCATCCTTGGGTGCCTTTCCCATTTGCTTCAAGAGATAGCTGCGCTTGAAGTAGGTATTGGGGTGCACGATGGTGTCGAGGTCAGTTTGGTTCCATGTACCGTCTTCCTTGACTCTCTTAATATCTGCTTTGTGGGTATGTTCGAAGACCCTGTTGCAAGCGATATGGAACCGCATTTTGTCGACATCCTCTCGCACTCCACGTAGGACGTCTCTGTCATTGACTCCTGTAGACTGAAGAAGACCGATCAAATTGTCGACAGAGAAGTGGCGGTACGGGCAGCCATGGGTCTGTCCAACTCCCGGATTTGAATCACCCAGGATCTTTTGGCAGGAGTACGGAGGGTATCCCCGGCCTCTGCGGTTCTGATCACCACCCACATCGCCGTAAGCGTGGCGGATATTGTACTTGTACCGCGAGTTGAATTCGTCGTCGGTGAGCCCTTTGAAGCCTTGACGCCAAAACACAATACACTCTTCCAGCGACAATCCAATTCCCTTGAGGAAGAGGGTATATTGCAGTCGTCCGTAATGCTTCAAGTGGTTGTTCTTGCGTAGGTTCATGTGAAGACTGCGCATACATAGTGGAAAATGCTGAGATAGTCGGTCGATGTTGTTCGCAGTAATCGGGGCGCCATCAACAAATCCTTCGTTCTCCGTGTACACCGACTCGGCGCTTCCAAAGTTCTTCGAGAGGTGATTGAGAATCGGGGTGAGGCGATCATCTTCATCCAAGCGCGGCAACGCCCGGCTTGTAAGCTAGCAGACGTCAGTGCCATATAGCAGTCCATAGCCACCGTTTTCACATACCTCAAGAGCACGCTCCAATCGAGCCGTAAACTCTGCTATGATCATGCTGAGTTGCTCCCTACCAGGCACGTACGCTTTTCCCTTGGATAGGAAAACAGCCCGTTTCTCTACCAACTCGGGGACTTTCTCCCAGTCCACCTTGTACCAGGTCTCATCGTCAATGCGACGTAGACCCGGGGAGGCGGCGAGCAATTGTTCTGCCAGCCTTTGTTTCTCCTCATCATCCACAGGCTCCCAGTCGAGATTGAGACTTTCGATGAAAGCGCGTCGTTCTCTGGTGTCGTCGCGTTGGAAGCGGAATCTGAAAAGCATAGTTTCTGCTCTCACGAAACGCCGACGGAGTTCTTCTGTGGCCGAAAAGGCGAGGCGTAAGATGAAGTGGGAGTAGTGATCTTTCTGGCGTTCATTTTTCAGTCGTTGATCTGCCGCACCGTTGGAGGAGGATGTGTTGGAGGATAGAGGGAGGTATTTTTGGAGGTGAGGTGTGATATGCGCTTCGGTCTCTGCCGGCGACTTGTTTCGATAAGAACAGGCTTCGATTTCAGCCAAGACTGTCAAGGATTGTGAGTATTTATAGTATACTGGGATTGTAAACTGAAGAACCTTTCAATCGATCAATGGCCCATTGCTCGAATTGTTCGAGGGTGATCTCGTCGGTCGGGGGTATTTCATAGAAGTTTAAGCGATGCGGATAGTCCTGTTGCTTGAAGACCGGAGTCGCGAATTGTTTCTTTTTGTGGTCGAGGGTTGCCCTTCTCTTTGGGTCAATTCGGCGAAAATCTTGCCGGATCATCTTGCTTTCTAACAGCGATTTGGACGCTATTGAGGTGTTTGGTCGTTGCTTGATCTGCTGCAGTTCAGCAACACCTACTACTGGATGGCCCATCGCGCGACGGACGCGAAACGCGGGCAAGACGCGCCACGATCACGTGATACATAACTTAATGTAATGCTCGATTGGGACATGTCAACACCGCAGTGGTGCAGCAGGAATACCGGGCTAATTGATGGGGTAAAGATCACAAGTAAGTGTGTACTACTACTGAGCTGCGTCTCAAATGTACCACTTGAAGCAAGCTCTAGTATGATACACGCGTGTGGGATATATTGCTGGACTTCGCCGGTAGTGTCACTACAAGCTAAGAAATAAAGCCATATGGTCGGGACAGCCAGCATCATTCTCTTTCCCTCTGCCAGCTACTAGGTATCTAGTATCTGTATGCAGTAGTCCTCTCCTACATACCATAGTTGCTACGCTTAATGGACGGAATCACTGTGAAAATAAAAGCCGAGGCTCACTGTAGAGACACCCTATACTCCGTACTCTACTTCCAAAATTAGCTCGACAACGTAGCATGTGAGACAGTAAACATGGTCTGACCCTCTGCATGGTACTTGTCTTCGTCCGAATTCATAGTTAAGTCAATTGCAACGCCAAAAGCCGACATTCCCATGTGTCGGTAAACGCTCCGATCTCCGCTCACCGATTTCCTAAATGGGCAACCATCTACAAACCCCACGGAAGGGCGTGCTTTCCCCGGCTTGAGATTTGTCGACGTATCAGCTGAGCACCGACCTGGCCCGATAAGCTGTGCAAACTATTATCTTCCTCTACCAGTCCTGCATCCCTGCCTACACTCTCTCAACTGTCTCCCTGAGCCGCAATGGAGATAATATAGTCTGCCCGCCGTTCCTCCACTTTCCCCAAACTAATTGTTGAGGTACCCGCCTTTCGTCCTACCTTCAAATACTCAACGACGGCTGCACCAGAGCACCGAATTGCCTCCAACCCCGAGACTATATCGCAAACCTCATAACTGAATAGCGCGCGAAATGACCGCTACAATCCGGCAGCTCAGAAAAGCAGCCCGAATCATTCTCGTCGGTGCTCCTGGAGTCGGCAAAGGTACGCAAACCGAGCGGCTCCTCGCCAGATATCCAGAGCTCGCCTCTATTAGCTCCGGCGACCTTCTGCGCGAGAATGTCCGCAGGAAGACCCCTCTAGGTAAGTGACCTTGAGTTTGCAAGACGCTTGGGAGGCAGGATCTGTCTAACGGATTCCGCACTCAGGCCTTCAAGCAGAAGCCACAATGCAGTCCGGCAACCTTGTCCCCGACTCGATGATCCTCGACCTCATATCCTCTGAATTCAAATCACGCGGCTGGCTCTCGTCAGCGCCAAGTTCATCAATAATTCCCTCTGCATCTTTTATCCTTGACGGCTTTCCGCGCACTGCGACCCAGGCTTCAAGCCTAGAAACCATCGTTCCCGTGAACTTCGTCGTCCACCTCGTCACACCTCCTTCCGTCATTCTCTCTCGGATCGCGTCGCGCTGGGTACACGAGCCATCCGGGAGGGTTTACAATACCGATTTCAATGCGCCTAAAGTTCCTGGCAAGGATGATGTCACAGGGGAGCCTCTGACTCAAAGAGAAGATGACTCGATCGATACGTGGAAGCAGCGCTTGCACAAGTTTGAAGAAACGAGCAAGGCATTGTTAGAACACTACCAGCGCAAGGGCTGTCTATGGCGTGTCGAGGGCGACACAAGCGACGAGATCAGTCCGAAGCTTTTCGCAGAGATTGAGCGGCAGTTCTGCTAGAGTTTCTCCACCTGATGGTTTCCCAACCTCAACCCGGTCCTATATACCTTCTTGTACTATATATCGGTTATATTCTGACTCTATGCTTGTTGGCGTCGCATCCCTGCAGTCCTAGAAGGGCAGCAGATGGGGACACTGCTATTTTTGTACCACTTCTTTACACACAGACACAGCTGGCATCTTTTCGTGGACGAGTTAAACCTAATGATCAGTCTAACGATGTTAATGAGTGCCGCAATGATAATGGATGACCAGATATTCGTCTATATTATCCCAAATATACAACCAAAAGATCAGCTGCGCAATGCAGAGAGACACATAACGACAGGGATATCTATCAGTATCAGCCGTATCATCATCAAAACTTGTACATCATGCAAACACACCCCAAAGTACACAAACGCCCCCATTGCGAACCGCAAGCACAACACAATCATTAACAAAGAACAAGTAAAACCCCCACCGGGCCTACTTCTTCCCCTGCCCCCCATCCTCCATCCCCGTCCTAGTCTTAAACTCCCTTGGACTCTCCCACGTATCCCTATCCTTCTTGAATCCCTTCCACAGCCCCAACCCCCTCGCCTTCGCCCACCACTCCGCACTCCGGTACTTCTTCTCCATCACCTCACCCCCAAATTCCGCCCCAACCTTCGCCTCATACACCGTCGCCAACCCCTTCCTCAACATCTCATACCCGACATCGCGTCTCCGAAACGGAATCGGGAAATCCAGCGCCCGTCGCACAAACACCGTCGCCACCACCCGCTGATACTGGTCCTGTCGGTGTACGTAAATCCGCACACGCCGGCCTGTCAAGTACCCCGTTAACCACTCGTGGGCTTCTTTACCGAAGGGTTGCGCGGGCCGTCCGAAGTGTGCTTGTTCGGGGGCGTCGACGCCGGCTAGGCGGACGTGGATCTATCCAAAACCCATTCCTATGTTAGCTACAAACCACTCCCCGATGGTATACATGTAAATAGTAAAAGGGCATACAGTCTGATCCCTCAATTCCTTCCGCGTCGTGGGAACCTTCTTCCAGGGTACCCAACCCCACCCTGCGAGTCTACCGCCAGGTGTATGATAGATGCGGAAGTTGTCGCCATCGCCCACGCTGGTTACTTTCCCTAGGAGACTCCGCCGACGGTAATATGCGGGCGTGATGTTGACGGCTGTGGGGAATCGGCGGAGGTAGGTCCGGTGTAGGGTGAAGGCGCTGAGGATGCCGGTTGTGAGGACTAGTGTTGGGATGAGGGTGCGGAGTTCGGTGTAGGCGCTCCAGTCGAGGACGTTCTTGGGGTCGGTTTTGTTGTCTGTGGTGGGGTGGTCATTGTTGGTGGCTTGCGCGTTGAAAGTCCATGGCGGCCATCGCATGACGGCTCATGCTAGGACTTCTGCTTCCTGTTTTTGGTGTGCGGTTTGCGCGGTGAGGGCGCCGGTTTGGAGGCGAGGGTGGGAATTGGGTGTGTAGTTGGTATTGGGGGAATTAGGCTTAGGGAGAGGAGAGTTTCCGGTTTGATGTTTATTCGGGCCGTACGATGATGAGCTGTTGCCGAGGTGAAAGTTTGGCGGTCAGTGAGCTCCTTTTACCCCGGGGGCGGAGGAGTGGTGGCTGCATATGGTAGTTATCTACGCTTAGAGAATCTAAATTATTGGTCTTACGAAAGTTCACTGGTACCCCTAATATGGTTTTGGGGTACAGCGCAGCCTGTCAGTACCTTGAGTCGCAATGCATAGATCCTTTTGATGCTATTGTATGTTCTAGATATTGAGCTGTTATTATCTATAGACAACTGCAGTAGTATCTTCGGTCATACCAGAAACTGACAAGACAGACGAAATCCCACAACCAGTGCGCCGCAGTGAGAAGAAACAAATTCGTACAAAAAGAGAATGGTAGTTACCGTGCCATAAATCAATCAATCAAACTTCTATTTGAGGGTCGCGGGAAGACTGGTCTTTGCTGTCGATGCAGCGGAGTCCGCCAGCTTCTTGAGCTTCTGCTCTCTGATCTTCCGCAGGTATGCGAAAAGAAGAACGAAAATAAGTTCAACCCTGGTCGCTGTCAGCATGTGATTGCGCCTCTTCATCCAGACTAAACATACCTCTCCTTAGTCATCATCAAAAAGCCTTGTACAAGGAGTCCCTTCATGATCTGGGGTCCAATTCCCTTGAAGAGGGACAGGAGACCCTCATTCTGCACAATATATCGCATGACCTCGCCGAATGTTTTGAAAGGCTTTCCTTCGCGACCCGGAGGCGGGCGAGACTGAAGGCCGACCTTGGCCACAATCAATGGTTGCGTCGCAATAGTAGCTAGCGCCTTGGAGAGAGCGCCGAGGACTGCAAAAGTAATCGGATCAGCTCACGCCGTATACGTGGTGATAGATATACTTACGGAAAGCTTCCCAAGGCTTCAGATTGTTCTTTCCTGGGAAGATGATATCTTTGAGGCGCTGATAGGCGCCGTATGTGATTGCCGGGTTGACCACCAGGATCAAACTAGCTTTGAGTCCTCTCCATAGACCGGTCCAACCATCTTCACTATCGACGATCTCCTTTCCAGTTTCAATGAGGCCCTTCCGCTCGCTCTTGTCTTGTGTCTGTTGCCGTGTGGTGATAACGGCAACGGGGATAGTGAAGATCTGGGCGACCGCGCCCGCCACGGCACCGAGGGAAAGCTCAATGGCAGTTCCAGGGGGTTTAGGAACCTTGTTGGATGCCATGTAGAAGGCCCTCACAACGGTGTACCAGTAGAAGTAGGCGAAGTTGGTGGACGCCACACCGATGAGAGAGCCGGCGATTCCGGAGTATAGGCCTTCGATTCCTTCCTTCTCGACAATCTTGGTGATCGCATCTAATGTCGATTTATAGTGTACTGTTTCGGAATTCTCGTCTTTCGAGTCGCTTGTCTTGACTTGTACTTGAAGTTTCGTCTTGACACTGTGCATTGACGCATGCTTATTAGCGTAAATTCTCCTTTTCGGGGTTTAAAGCGACAACAGGTACTTGCATACAGATCAAGAGGGTAGACCAAAGCGTTTGCTAGAACTGCACCTGTAGCACCCGCGACGGCACTTCCCCAAGGGGAAAGTGCGGGCTTCGACTGGCCGGCCATTATTGTGACGAGATGAATTAGTTGGTAGATTGAATGGATGAGGTATTTGGCGTAACGTGAAATGCGAGAAGAATATCGACCAGCGTCCCAAGCCGTTTATTGAAACACTTTAACCGAAATGCCAGTATCGGACTTATTACCTGAGAATAATATGGCGGTGCGGAATAATAATTGGCGATATTTCGGAGCGGGGACTCCCAGGAGAGCCTAGCAGCTCACAGGGTGGAATGATCGGAGGGTGACAGAAGTGAGTGTCTGGGCTGTGCGAAAGGACTCTGGCGACCGCAGTGCTCACAGTTTGAAGTGACCACAGGTGAAGTGGTGTCGAGTGCTTTGCTCAGTGCCTGGTCAGTGACTGACAAAACCAGAAGCCCGGCAAGCAGCACTATTGAGGGCAGGGATACTCCGAACAAGCAAGTCAAGGCAGATGAACCTCGGCGCAGCGATGGCGCGCATGACGAAACGAGCCTCGGTCCGATGGCCGGCCTGTTGATCGTTATCGCTTTGGGTCACCCACTGTTTCCTGCCCACTGCCGTCTCTCCCCACCGACACGCGACGGTTACCAACTCCATACTATCTAGTACGTACCACCATTCACCAGTTCGCCTGCCACCATTCACACTTCATCTGCCGACCTTTTCTTTGGTGTTTCATCTTCCTGACTAACCCATCTAAAGTTTTCTTATCTTTGGGTTATCTGGAAGTGCACGTTCCCCTTGTCTATTATTGCTTTGGGTCTGGCACATTCCTTAAGGTAGTGGACCTCGGATGTCATCATCGGAAATACTAGGTCCCCTTCGGCATGATCATCAAGTAGTGTATTACTGCCTCACATCTGATAGGTGCTAGCCGAATCTGCAGTAGTTGCAGAGAGGCTGGTTCAGCAGTATGTCTAGACCGAACGCTGCATCTACAAAGTTCTTAGTCAACCAGGCCTTGGTAATTATTCTACTCTTTTCTACTTCCAGCTCGGTGTCGATCACCACCATAGAGGTTCTTCTGACTAACCAGTAGCCAGAAAGCTGAGCGAGATGCATCTAGTGCTATTACTCAAGGCCAGGCCCTTGAGTCTGCTATCGACGCCGCCGAAAATTACATGAAGGCGTTGAGTCTGACAACCGAATCAAAGGATAGACAGGCTCTTGATGCGAAATGTAAGGAATGGCTCACACGGGCAGAAAAGATCAAACAGAACAAGGACTGGCAGGCCGTTGTCCAGATCCAAGAGAAAAGCGGTCTCACGGCGCGATTCCCCAAATCCACACGTAAACTTACCACACGTGAGGAGATTGTTCTGCTTGAGAGCGCAAAGCTAAATGGCTTTATCTTTCCTCCATGGAAAAATGCCCCGGGCCCCGAAGATTTCGAGAAGGGAGTTGAAGGGATTTTTACGTACGTCTATCTAGTCCCTGATGTTGGAGGCATCGTCAAATGTTGATTTCTAGATGCTGACTGGGTCCAGTGACAAGCCAGACCTTCACCTGTCCAAACAGCAAAGGCGCATTCTGGCAGGCTGGGAGCGTCCCTCTGAGCTGTTGTCTAAGCATGCAAACGGCATACATGGCCTGAAATCAAGAATGCCTGTGATGTCGGTTTCAGGCACTACAGATCTCGTCCAAGATATGTTGACCGACTGCTCCGTCGTTGCCAGTCTCTGTGCTGCTACATCAAGGTCGGAGCGTGGTCTAGACAAGGTATGATGTTCCTCAACATGACATTCCTGCAAGGAACATGCTCCTAACAATTACAGCACCATCTTCCCATCGTTTTCCCCTGCGAATACGGGCAGGTAAATCCAATAATTTCCCCTTCAGGAAAATACATATTCCGCTTTTATTTCAATGGATGTTTCAGAAAAGTTGTCATTGATGATCGCTTGCCGGCGTCAAAAACAACAAGATCACTTCATGTTGTTGATCGAAATAATCCTAACTTTCTGTGGCCGGCCTTTGTGGAAAAGGCGTATCTGAAGCTTCGCGGGGGCTATGACTTTCCTGGGAGCAATTCTGGTACAGATTTGTGGGTCTTGACAGGCTGGATTCCTGAGCAGGTCTTCCTCCATCAAGATGATGTAACTGCAGAGCAACTCTGGAGGCGGCTATTCAAGCGCTTCCGGCATGGCGATGTCCTACTGACGATAGGTACGGGCAAATTAACCGAGAGGGAGCAGAAAGAACTAGGCTTAGCGAGCGAACATGACTACGCTATCTTGGATATGAGAGAGCAGAGAGATCGTCGCCAAATGCTTGTAAAGAACCCATGGGCAGGTGACGATGCCACCACCGGAGATATCGCAGACAGTTTCGGACTTGGACATACATCTCACACCCCTGCGTCCTCCTTACCAAGGACCTACTGGATGGATTGTGAGAGTGTCCTACAAAACTTTGAGAATCTGTATTTGAACTGGAATCCGGGAATCTTTCGCTATCGGGAAGATATTCACTTTACATGGGACCTTTCGACTGCCAGAGGGGTGGCTGGCTGCTTCGCGAAAAACCCCCAGTTTGCTATTACCTCTGAGATTGGCGGTAATGTCTGGCTACTGCTTGGGAAGCACTTCAGGTCGATTCATCATGATGAGCAAAATCAAGTGCCCCAAGACGATCTGGAACCAGGATTCATTAGCATCTACGTGTTCAACGCAAATGGAAAACGAGTGGCATTAAGTGAAGGAGCCCTTCACCGCGGTCCATACGTTGACTCGCCAAATACTCTCATGAGACTGGAAATGCCTCCAGGCACGACCTACACTGTCGCGGTTTCTGAGCAGTCATTACCCGCTGTCAGCCAGAACTTCACATTGTCGGCTCTGTCCGACAATCCCTTGCTCTTGGCGCCTGCCCAGAACCGATACGCTTGCCTGACAAAAACTCAGGGAATGTGGATGCCTTCCACGGCAGGAGGAAACGCCGAATCTGCCCGCTACCCGTTTAATCCTCAGTTCCGACTCGAGGTTCATGACGATACAGATATATCAATTCTGCTGGAACCATCGGAGCCGGAGCTCGCTACGCATGTCAAGTTGTTCTGGTCCAATGGACAGCGTGTGACTAGGGTTCGGAACCGCGATATCATAACCGATAGCGGTGATTACCGGCGTGGCGGGTCTCTTGCGGAAAAGAAGAGACTCGGCGAAGGAGTCTACACGCTCGTCTGCTCAACCTTCGCCCCGGACCAACTTGGGCGGTTCACACTCTGGATTTCGTCGGCATTACCGTGCGACGTGAAGCCGCTTGCACCAGAGGCAGCAGGGCGACGAGCAGTCATATCTGATATCGGGGTCTTGACTCCTGGGAAAGATCGGATGCTGGCATCCTTGGAGACCAATCGCTTGACCCGCATTAAGCTGATAGGACGGAGCAGAATGTCTACGATCGGAAATCGCGCCGTTGGCCCGTCTCCAATGTTGATGACAGTAGAGCTTGGTCAAGGGCCGTACAAGGAGATACTGGCTACTTCTGAAGATGGGAACCATAGTGATGCGATATCTGGAGTACGAATTGAGGACTTCGATCTGCATCCGGGTCTCGCAGATCAGGGTGGAGCCTGGATAGTCATTGAGAGAATTGGAGGACCTGGGGGACAAGTTGAGGACCACTTTGAAGTCGAAGCTTTGGCCGAGGAGCGGGTGGATATCGGCGAATGGATCGTTGAGGATGCATGATTGATTGATAGTTCTCTTAACTTTGGCGGAGGGTTCTTTGCAGGACTGGCATGGGTTAACCGGCGTGGGAAACGGCGTGAAGTCTTGCAATATCTAGCTTTGACAATTAGCTACATACTCTGACCAGGAAAATAACATGATCTATGTGGTTGAGGTAATTTTTTGATTTACATGTTGTGGTAAACAATGTAGTATATAGTACAACTATGGGCCGAGGCCAAAGTCAGGAACGCTAGGCCGACCCGAGACCAGCTTGGCGCAGTTCCACCTCCAACGTCATCCCCGCCCTGCATCGTGCATCTTCCTCCTGCATCCTGACCGTTGCAGCTCTGACCTCCTGGACGTCAGCGTCCCACCCAACCCCATGGCGAGCAATATCCCCGCTAGTTTGAGATCCGCCGAAATTGGGCGATACGCGTTGCGGGCGGCTCAGCTCGAACGCGCGAAGCCCGTTGTTGCCTACTGGTGTAAGTGCCGTTGATTGCGCATGTTGCTGCTCAAATGGAAGGCCACATAAACTGACTAATGTTCGCTTCTCGATTACAGGTAACTTCTGGATTGTTAATCAGATCATCGGACGGGGACTACACACTTCCGACGACGATGTCAAGCTATACACAACGGACCTGGTGGACAAGTTGGAGCAGGTACGTCGGGCGCAGGACACCCCCGCTACGATGGCGCGCACTTCCCAAAGACTTACACATATCCCGTCTGAATTCAGTTCAAGAGTGAAAATGTCGATAATGATGCGGTAACCGATGCGGTGGCTGCCAATGCCTACGTGGAGCAGTTCGGATTGGAGATCCTTGGCCGTGCGGAGGCGACAATGAAAGCCAATAAAGTGACCAAGTGGGTTGTTTTCGTGAATTATACCCGCACCAAGGCTGACCCGGTATTAGACAGACGGCCGATACGTTCCAAGCTGCTGCTACGTTCCTCGAACTGTGTCAAATTTGGACCAACCCTCCGGAACCTGAGATCGCCGCGAAGATCAAGTTCTGCAAGTACCATGCGGTGAGGATCATAAAGGCTATCAAGGCGGGAGAGGATCCTAATGCGTCCAACCCGGCGCCTACTGAGGAAGATGAACTCGAAAGTGAACTTAGGGGAATGGAGGCCAAGCAGGACGATCCCGAAGTGCAGGCCATCGTGGGATCGTCAGCCGCACAACCTGGGCAGCCTTCTGTTGAAGAGGTCCCCGATGAGTCTATGCAACCTTCACAATCACCTCTCAGTCTCCCACAACCTCCGACCACGTTTGCCGATGTTCCAGCTGCTCACTCCGGAGCGGACCCGATGTCTACTTCGAACGAGGAGGGCGATGCGGAGCCAGGCGCACCGCTGAATCTCCCCTCTGCTCCAGAGACTTTCACTTCACCTGCTGCTCCCTCTGTACCCAACCTTCCAGATACGCCTGCGGATATTGGTGCAAATCCTCCGCAAGCTCGTGCTGACTCGTTCCACTCCTTCCCTCCACCGTCATCCATCCCGCCTTCGAGCCCGTCGGCAGCATCTCACGACGCAAGCTCGTTCTACACCAAACCGACAAGCAGTGTCGCTCCGCCTCCACCGTTTGTACAATCATCCTCTGCAACAGTGCCTGTAGTCTCTCGTCATACTCCTCAAAGTTTCCCGTCATCCACACCACCTCCACCTGCACCCGCCGCTTCTA